CAGGTGAATTGGGTAGGCTAAATTATTCGTAGTGTATGAGTGTGTGTATGTGAAGATGTTTCCCAGAGATGGGTTGCGGCTGGAAGGGCATCCACTGCGTTAAAACTTGCTGGATAAGTTGGCGGTTCATTCCGCTGTGGCGACCCCAGATTAATAAAGGGACTAAGCTGACAAGAAAATGAATGAATTCTGGTTAAAGATGAATTTTTTGGAGGTGAGCCATCAAAATCTAATTTAATCCTATAAGTATACTGTCGTTTTATTTGTTATTTTGGTCTGATAATTTAGACTTGTTTTCTAACAAGTAAAAGGTATTCTACTGTGTCCACTTTAGCTGTGAAAAACGTAGCTAATATTTGAAGAAAGAGAAACAACTTTTGTTTTCTTAATAGTTTTTACCAATTAGTTTTCTTAATTATCCTTATATATATATATTTTTTTTAAACATGTTAAATTGTGGCTATTAAATATGATACAGTTTTGATAAGCGTATTTTGAAGAAAGTTCATTTGTATTTGATCATTGCATTTCATTGATTGCATTTTGCAATTCGCCCCAAAATATAATATTTACAGAGCTTTTATTATAAACAAAAGCATTAAATTGTAAACTTACTAAAATATACAATTGAAGTCAGAATTATTAGCCCCCCTGAATTATTAGACCGCTTGTTTATTTTTTTCCCCAATTTCTGTTTAACGGAGAAGATTTTTTCAACACATTTCTAAACATAATAGTTTTAATAACTCATTTCTAATAAATTATTTATTTTATCTTTACCATGGTGACAGTAAATAATATTTGACTAGATATTTTCAAGGCACTTCTATACAGCTTAAAGTGACATTTAAAGGCCTAACTATGTTAACTGGATTAACTAGGCAGGTTAGGGTAATTAGGCAAGTTATTGTATAACGATGGTTTGTTCTGTAGACTATCGAAAAGAATATATAGCTTAAAGAGGCAAATAATTTTGTCCCTACAATTGTGTTTAAAAAGTTAAAAACTGATTTTATTCTAGCCAAAATAAAACAAATGAAACTTTCAACAGAAGAAAAAATATTATCGGACATACTGTGAAAATTTCCTTTCTCTATTCAACATCATTTGGAAAATATTTAAAAAAGAAGAAAAATGTTTGAAGGGGGCTAATTATTCTGACTTTAACTGTGTGTGTGTATATATATATATATATAAAGAGAGAGAGAGAGAGAGAGATGTATTTATTTATTATGTGAAGATAATAGTTACAGTATATATATTTCTAAAATAAAGCAAATTATATTTAAATGCATTTTATAAGATTTTATTCAGGGATTTTCAAAATATCCCAATTTTATCTTATTTTGGCATTTAATGATTTCTGAATATTTGAGTCTTTTCTCCTAGATTAGGAGAACTGTATATAATAGAAGTCATCATAATGCATCAAAGATTATATTAAATAGGCCTGTTGCATCAACATATGAAGGTTAACAAAAAACCATCCACATTTAAAAAAAAAAAAAGTGTATTGTGGGTACAAGTATCATAATTTTGTTGATTTATAGCAGGTAACACAAACTACTATTATTTCATATGCCAAGCTGTACAGGGTTTATTTTCCAACAGTCTCACTGTGCATTTGTCCATGAATCGGTCAGTAATAAGTGGTGATTCTTAGATATGCAGTTTACTTAGATATTTCAGTTTACTTACTTTTCTCCTAATTTTTTGACGTCTCTGTCTGCAGGGAGATATGGGATTTCAGGGAAGGCCGGGTCCTCCGGGTCCTATTGGCATAGGCGAACCAGGTCTACCTGTAAGTATACAAGCCGAAGGTCAAAAATGTTCACAAATAATTTACATAATGTAGATTTCTTTACATTTCTAAAACACTTAAATACACGTTTTTTTGTAATGCATGCATTCCATCTAATGTAATGAACACATGTCTATGTAGATTTCTATAATACTTTAACGCACATTTTTACACATGCTCCTGTTGCATATTATTATCATCATTATTTGACTTTTTTTAACCAGATATCCATTTTCCACATTTAAAATAATGTAATCTACAAAATCAGTGCAGTTATACATTATATATAATATCATATATTATATTAGTAATACATTATATAATTTATAAATATTATTTAAGATAATGTTTTTACATTATTATGCTAAACTACAATTTTCTTCACATTTCTTCATTAAATCAGGGGCCACAAGGTCCACAGGGGGTTCAAGGTGAAAAAGGACCACAAGGAGAGGGTTTTCCAGGCCCAAAGGTAAGATTCTCACAGAAACACCATGTTTTCATTCTGCTCTTTACACTACGTGGAGATTTGCAGCACAATGTAAAACAAATCCGTAAAATTTGCTGCAAAAAGGAAGCTTTGGTTGCCAGTATTTTACCATTACAAATACAATACAAACTGTACAGCTTTAATTTTTTAAGGTAAGCTACTGTGTTTCGGTAGTGTTAATACGTCAGTGTTCGAAAGTACTAACATCTTACAGTATTTACAATAAAGTAAGTAATGTGTATTTATATAGCACATTTATCGTGTGTGGCCCCCCATGAGGGGGGTCTCTTTATACCACCACCAGTGTGCAGCATCCACTTGAATGATGCGACAGCAGCCACAGTACAATGGCACCAGTGTGCTCACCACACACCAGCTATTGCTGGAGTGGAGAAACATTGATCGAGCCAATTCAGTGGATGAGGATGATTGGGAGGCCATGATGGTACGGGCCGATGGATGGAAATTTGGCCAGGAGATGTGCCATGAGATTTTTAATGACCACAGAGAGTCAGGACCTCGGTTTAACATCTCATCCAAATGACGGCGCTCACTGACAGTATAGAGTCCCCTTCACTTTACTGGGGCATTAGGACTCACACTGACTGCAGGATTGAGCTGGCCTTATTAGCCTAGTTTTCCCATGTGGTCTCCCATCCAGGGACTACCTAGCCTCAGCCCTGCTTAGCTTAAAGACACTTTTTTATATACTTTGGTACAACATTAGACTTTTATTAGGGATTTATTATTATCTTTTTATACCCTCAGATCAAAGTAATTTTGCTTTCGACCAGACTGAAAACATTTCTGTAATTCGTTGCAGCTAAATTAATAAAATATCCTCATATTATAGCTTTGACTTTTGGGCGACACGGTGGCTCAGTGATTAGCACTGTCCACTCACAGCAACAAGGTCGTTGGTTTGAGGGTCGTTGCATGTTCTCCCCATGTTGGCGTGAGTTTCCTGGGGTGCTCCGGTTTCCCCCACAGTCTAAAGCAGGGGTGGGCAAACTCGGTCCTGGAGGGCTGGTGTCCTGCACAGTTTAGCTCCTACTCTAATCAAACACACCTGCTTATAGATTCTAGTGATCTTGAAGACACTGATTAGCTTGTTCAGGTGTGTTTGACTAGTGTTGGAACAAAACTCTGCAGGGACACCGGCCCTCGAGGATCAAGTTTGCCCATCTCTGGTCTAAAGACATGTGCTATAGGTCAATTAAATAAACTAAATTAGACGTAATGTATGTGTGTGAATGTGAGTGTATGGGTGTTTCCCATTACTGGGCATCTGCTGTGTAAAACATATGCTGGATAAGTTGGCGGTTCATTCCACTGTGGTGACTCCTGATGAATAAAGGGACTAAGCCAAGGAAAATGAATGAATAAAAGTTTAGTTTAGAAAGTAAAGATACTCATTTATTCATTCATTTTCTTTTTAGCTTAGTCCCTTTATCAATCCAGGGTCGCCACAGTGAAATGAACCACCAACTTATCCAGCACATGTTTTACACAGCAGATGCCCTTCCAGCTGCAACCCAGTACTGGGAAACATTTATACACACTCATTCATACACATACACTACGGACAATTTTAGCTTACCTTGTTCACCTATGTCTTTGGACTTGTGGGGGAAACCAGAGCACTTGGAGAAAACCCACGGGAACATGGGAAGAACATGCAAACTCCACACAGAGACGCCAACTGGCCCAGTCGAGGCTCGAATCAGCGACCTTCTTGCCGTGAGGCGAACGTGCTACACTGGGCCACAGCGTCACCCTAGTAAAGATACTACTTTGAGAAAAAGTAATGATTTTAAATGTTCCTAGGGGCTTTGTTTTTATTTTATTTTATTATTTTTTATATAAGGCAAATTTAATAAAACAGGTTAAAATCAGAAGCCATATATTTTCACTTAATGCATTTTTTTTTACTTTAAACTAACTACAGGCACGGTAGTTTCACTTTTTTTCAGTGCAGAGCCATTTCACACAACTGAGGCTCAGTGAAGGTTGGCGCTGAATTATTAGCAGTTGGAAACCCTATAGTTTTATAGAAATGAAGAAACAATGCATGCATTGCAGAACAACCGCCCAAATGCTCGTGAAAGAAGGTTAGCATTTCAAAGACAGAGCTAATGACGCCTCTTTTTTTTGTTTGACAGGGGGACCGCGGTCTGGAGGGGCCAAAGGGGCCGAGGGGACAGCCGGGCCTGGGACTCAAAGGCGATAAGGTGGGCTGTAAATACATCAGCACATGAATAGGATTCACACAAGGCACACAACAGGTTTAATGATGTATGTAAAGTGGCTCCGTTATTATGGTTTGTAAGAACTAACAGATGGGAAGCCATTACGGCTCAAGTTACTCTGGGAAAAGATGAGTCACCTGTTCGTGCTGGATATAACAAATACACACATTATTATTATTCTACAGGTTAATTATGGGGACATTTCAGAGCTGAATCTTCTCTGTGTGTGTTTTCAGGGTGAGTTCGGGCCTCCGGGTTTGCCAGGACCAGTTGGACTCACAGGGGTTGGCATTCAGGGAGAAAAGGTGATATAGTCAATAATTTATTTATTTATGTTTTTATAAGGCAGATCCTAGAAAAACGAAATATTAAATGAGAAAACAGTGGGCGTGGCTTGTTTTTTATACTGCGATCTGATTGGATGTAGTTAGGTGGATATTTCATTCAAAAAGATCAAGAAATGGGTCTCAGGAGAGTTATTACAACCTAGTAGACGCCTCCTCATCAACATTTCTGTTTTGAAAATGTCATTTATTGTTGTGCATTATTATCATCTTTACTTCAGTTTCATGATCCTTTAGAAATTATAATATGCTGATTAGTTGCTCTGTTATTATGTCTTGATAATTGAACATTTTAACTATTATTATTTACAGTACATCACTATTGTTCTTACATGTTTGCATTTTCCAATGTAATATTTTAATTTCAGGGTGTTGAGGGTCCGAGAGGGCCTCCAGGTGGTAGAGGACCACCAGGAGAGGGCTTCGCTGGGCCTAAGGTTGGTATTGCAAAAGGCTAAAATATAAAAGAAAATATACAATTACTTCTTAGCTTATTTTGTTGCCCATTCTTTAAGGGAGAACAAGGTTTGCCAGGAGAGATGGGTACGCCGGGAGAGAGAGGACAGGGCGAGCCTGGAGCAAAGGTTTGAATGAAACTGTTTCTGTTTGACATAATAATGAAGAATTAAGAGGTGATGTTAATTATTATTATTATTTTTCAGGGTGAGCCTGGCTCATCTGGATTGGCTGGAGTACCTGGACTTCCTGGAGAAGATGGAGCTCCCGGACAAAAGGTAATTCAACTTTATGATGTCTGGACTGGGGTGAGACCATTTGAAGCAGGAGTGTCCAAACTCAGTCCTGGATAGTTTAGCTCCAACCTCCAACACACCTGCCTGGAAGGTTCTATTATACCTAGAGCTTGATTAGCTGGTTCAGGTGTGTCTAATTGGGATTGGAACTAAACTTTGCAGCACACCAGACCTCCAGGACTGAGTTTGGGCAACCCTGATCTAAAGCCACGAGCAATGGCAAAAATACTAGCCCTGCAGGGCGCATAAGCAGTGCGCGAAATGCTCACTGCCATTAGCAAACCATTCAACAAAAAAAAAGGTACCTCTTAATGCATATATCACTTTTGGTGTGATCAAGGCATTAGAGAGTTTGATGTGTCGTGACACTGGTAATCATGAATCTCTCTGACCAGCAACCAAATCAACTGAAAGATTAATAAACGGGCCAATTAAATGCCAAGGAGTTGGCAGCATCAGCGTGCACAGCTGGCAGAAATTACAATCAATATTGTATAAAGATGCCCGCCGTGCATCAGAGTTATCTTTTCTAGCTGAAAAGCCTGAATAGCTCTCAGCTAAGGGGCAACTGCTGTGGTGGCAAAGGTACATGGCATTTCCACTCCCCCACCTCGGGTTTCTCAGCTTTTGACAACCCCCCACCCCCTTCGCATCATCGATGACATAAGCGTGCTCAGGTTCAGCAGGTAAAGATGCAGTGTGAGTACAGGCCATCGGTGGAGAGGGGAGGGGGGACAAGTCAACTGTACCTAGTGGGAGTAGTGCTGGATGTTTTTCTCCGCTCTGACTGCATGGATATGAAGCACATCAAAGAAGGTGGAGTTCCAGGACACAGCCACTGATTGCATAGTCAACACAGACCAATGGTAACTTAAAGGGGTTTAGGACCAAAACAAACACTCCCAAAAAGTTTGTTTTGAACTTCGAAAATTGACTCAAAATAAACTGTTTTGACTGGATTTATTTGAAACAACGTCATTTCAGTTATTTTTATCAGTATGAAAAGAAAAGTGCCATTCATTATTTTCACTGCTTTGCTTCATCAGGGTGAGCCTGGGATACCAGGTTTCAGGGGACCTGAAGGGGCTCAAGGAATTGGCACTCAAGGAGAGAAGGTCATTTACACATTAATTTATAATATAATTTACATCCATTTAAGTTTGTCTTCTTGTGGAAGCTCATATATACTCTGCAGGCACAGGACGTCAACATGATGTCATATCGAAGTTGTACCCTAATGTACCCCAGTGTCGTGGGAACCTTGAATTTTGTTTGGAAGTGAAAATCGGGTTGATGTCAGAACCCAATGTCAGGCCAACGTCAGTGTCCAATGACCAACCTAAAATCAACCAAATATCAACATCTAATCATGTTACACCTTGACGTTGTGTGGACGTTACCAGTAAGACATCTATCAGAATTGGATTTTGGTCACTTTCCAACACAACCTAAAATCAACCAAATATCGACGTAATTTGATGTAGTTATTGGACGTCAAGATAACATTGTCCTTAGACGCTGGCTAGACATTGAATTTTGGTCACCTTACATCACAACATAAATCTAACCTAATATTAACATCTTATGTTGTGTGCCTGCTGGGTAGACTTTTATAAAATGCTGGGTTGTTGAACCCAATGTTGGGTGAAAAATTGACAAAGGCAACATTGAGATAATGCTTCTATAATAAATTTACTATACAATTTTTACCCAGTAATTGGGTTTGTCTATATTTCACCTAATGTTGGGATACAATTACCCATTTTTTTATTATAGTACATGTATGAGCTTCTTATGAGTGTCTTCAGGTTGTTTTCTTGTAGATATATTATATTTAGGGCTTTAGTATCGTGTCATTAAACCTAGTATGTGTTGACTGATTTTATGCTCTTAATAGGGAGACCAGGGTCAGCGTGGCATTCGAGGGTTGCCAGGTCCTCCTGGGATAAGCGGCCCTTCAGGGGCAAAGGTGAGAACATTTGATTAATAATTAAATTATTTCTAAGCCATAATAAACCAAAGCAATCCATAATTACAAACTATGAATCTAAGTCAAAAAACACAGTTGAAGGTAATGTTATTAGCCATCTTGGGAAGTTTTACTAATTATTTAAATGTATACAATTTAATGTTGATGTACTGTCAACATTTCCTTGCTCTGTTAAACATCACTTGGAAAATTCTTGAAAATAATACAAAATTCACGTGATGGTTAATATTGCCTTAAACTGTTCTCAAAAACTACAAAAATACAAATATGTGAACTGACATGAACCTTCTGGAATAACCACTACTACGCCAAACAAAAAATATTGTTGTAATAACGGTCAACATATTATGTAAAATATTATTCTGTACACTATTACTCAAATTTTAAACTGAAAGTTTATTTTTACGAGTTATTGAAAAGTCTCACCTAGGCTGTACTTGTTTGATCAATTTATTAAAAACAAATTTTATGAAATATTACCATTCAATATAAAATTTTCCATTAAAATACATTTAAAATAATATATATGTTTCAGACGATCATTCAGAAATAATTATAATTTGCTGAATAATTCTGATTATTAACCATATTGAAAATGCTGATTCATTTCCTTGTGGAAAACTGATACACGTTTCAGGATTCTTTAAAAACATTTGAAAAATCAACATTTTAAAAAAGGGGAAAAAAAATAAAGCATTATAGATGCCTCTGTCAGTTCTAATTAATTGAATGTATTTGCAGAATAATATTAAGCATTAAATAACAACATTAATAACAAACACCATACTGACCCCAAACTTTTGTACAACAGTTTACAATATGTTAGTGCATAGTAAAATATTTAAATTTATGCAAATACTAAAAAGAAAAACTAAAATAAAAAAAGACAAAATTTAAAATGTAAAGAAAAAAATTATAGAAAGAAGAATTCTCTCCAACCTTTAAGCAATGGCTAATGCACCTTCTACACCAGCGGTTCTCAACAGGGGGTCCCAGCCCACAAGGGGGCCTCAGCATCATATTTCATATTTCAAAAAATTTTGGACAATTTTTGGACAATTAGGAGACGGTCATGTTGCCTTAGATCATTTTATCCCCTGGTGACCAAAAAAAAAAAAAAAAAAAGAGACAAATTTGTAATTCATCCACCACAAAAAAAGACTGGACCCAGGTGAGGAAGCTCTAAACATTTCGAGTCACAGCACTACCAATACCAGAAACAAGAATGCAGGAAATACCAAGATAGTTACCCAAACTATGGCTTTATTCCATTTTTTCAAAGCAGAGTCCCTGACCCAGCCACAGTGTATTATCTGCACCAAAGTACTTGCTAACGAATGCATGAGACGGTCTAAATTAATAAGACATTTGCAGACGACTTGTCCCCAATACCGCAAGGTGCACCCAATACAAATGCCCTACCGATGTTTTGCTTTTATATTTTACATTAGGCATAAACATATCTAGATAGAGTAATAGACATAGCGTTTGTTTGAAAACCTTTTTTTTTTTTTGTCATAACTACTGCAAACTTATACGAGCGATAATATTGTTAAATGTGGAGGGGGGGCCATACAATATTTTCCAGGGGGAAAAGGGGGTCTCGGGCAAGAAACGGTTGGGAACCATTGTTTTACACCACTTGACCTTGTAAAAAAATACGATATACTATAAGAGGATGTACCAATATGTTTTATCTTACTTGGCAACCTTCATCTTTGTAAACTTGTTCATATACAGAAGATGGATCTTATTTAACTAGAGTAAAACTTTGACTTCTCTTTCCTTTTGTATAATATTATTTATTTGCATTTTATTTGATTATTATACATATATATATTTTTATAGAACGAGTTTAGCTTTGTTTAGGTTAAAAAAAAATCTATCTGTACTATCATGTTTCACGTCTAACAAATGTTTAAAAAAAATTAAAACCTTTTTTAAAAAAGAGACTAAATTTGGTCTTCTATAAACACATAAGCATTGTTTTGCGTAATAGTGCTATGAACGCTTGTTTTTTTCCACACACTCAGTAGTACTTAAATTACAAGTCACACGAACACTATACGGTTGTTTTTAGGGGGAACCAGGTACACCAGGAAGGCTGGGCATGCCAGGATTACCTGGAAGAGCTCTTGCAGGACCAAAGGTAAAGCAAGCTAAACTATTACAACTGTGCCACTCCTGTATCAATGGCCCACTGCCAATATAATGAGTCACAACGTTTCTATTTCACATTCATCATAGCCAACTTAGCAATAAAACAGAAAAGTAATGCCATGACCTCATCTGTCTGTGCCTTCAGGGTGACTTGGGTCCTGCTGGACCTCCAGGACCGATTGGAGAGACCGGTTATGGCCTGCCTGGTCCAAAGGCAAGTGTTTTTTGTAAAATACGTAGTAATCAAACTTAGCGTAATTAAACTTGCCTAATTAACCTAGTTAAGCCTTTTAAATTGCAAAGCTTATCACGAGTATTTAAGCTCAATACCAGTATATCATACTAGTATATGCAAAATAACAAAATATACATTATATACTGTCATCATGGCAAAGACAAAAGAAAAAAAATCTATAATTCATGTAATTCTATAATTCATATTGTTACCTAAATTCTTCTCTTTAATATTTTATTCTTTACTTTGTGTTTTTATTTTTCGTATATTATCATTAAAGTAATGTTTATTTTTCTTATTATTCTCATTGTTTTATTTGCAGCACTTTATTTTTCTACTTTTCTTCGACTCTTCCCCTTCCTTTCTGTTTTTTTTTTTTACTTTTTTCTCTTCTATTTCTTCTCTTGCCTCTTCTTCTACTAACTATTATTATGGTGGCTTGAAAAGCCAACATACTGTTATCTCACTTAAACTTATTAGGCTGGCTTGTGTAGCAAGCCAGACTACTGTTATCCTATTAAACTTATTATTATATTTATTATTCTTCTTCTGAGACTAAAAATTAAACTCTATCTCGTCCTAGGCCTTTCAAGCTATGACCATCAAACTCGGGTCAGACCTCCGAACTATTCTGACTCGAGTTGCTATATCCTTTCCGACTGATCCGACTTTCGGTTTCCCGAAAAACGTCCCGGGACCGTCGGAAAAATCCCATAGACGTAACATTGGATCAAACTTTGTGACCTAATAACTCCGCATCAGAATGTCACACAGACTTCTAACTGGGCTCATTTAACTCAGACTATCAAACTGCCAATGACTGATCACCTTTAAACTTTCTGCCCACGCCCTAGCAACCACTTCTGGACCCTAGAAACCGTCCCATAGACTTCCATTGCAAAAGGCTCTCATTGACTTTACATTGGATCAAACTTTGTGAGCTCATAACTCTGCATCAAACTGTCCTACAGACTAATGGCTGAGCTCATTTAACTCAGTCTAGCCAGCAGCCAATCACTGATGGCCTTTTAACTTTTTAGCCACACCCTAACAACCAGATACTGCACCCTAGTAACTGTCCCATAGACTGCCATTAAAGAGGTTCAGACTGATATTGTCATGCTGCAGTGTGATAGAGACATGGGGGTTGTTTTTAACTGTTCATACTGGCAAGAAGCTTTGATACATCATCAGTCTAAGCTGTCAATCAACTCCATAGCAACAAAACAGAGTAACCTAGCAACGATATGGCACCAGCTATATCTCAGCATCAGAACTTCGTAGAGAGGCGGGGGTTGGCTTGTTTGACTCATGCTCGAACACCATCCATCTATCTATCTATCTATCTATCTATCTATCTATCTATCTATCTATCTATCTATCTATCTATCTATCTATCTATCTATCTATCTATCTATCTATCTATCTATCTATCTCTAACTATCTATCTATCTATCTATCTATCTATCTATCTATCTATCTATCTATCTATCTATCTATCTATCTCTAACTATCTATCTATCTATCTATCTATCTATTTATCTATCTATCTATCTCTAACTATCTAACTATCTATCTATCTATCTCTAACTATCTATCTCTAACTATCTATCTATCTATCTATCTATCTATCTATCTATCTATCTATCTATCTATCTATCTATCTATCTATCTCTAACTATCTATCTATCTATCTATCTATCTATCTATCTATCTATCTATCTATCTATCTATCTATCTATCTATCTCTAACTATCTATCTATCTATCTATCTATCTATCTATCTATCTATCTATCTATCTATCTATCTATCTCTAACTATCTATCTATCTATCTATCTATCTATCTATCTATCTATCTATCTATCTCTATCTATCTATCTATCTATCTATCTATCTATCTATCTATCTATCTATCTATCTATCCATCATGCTAACAACATGCTAATTCATGCTAGAATCATGCTAGCTACATGCTAATTCATGCTAGAATCATGCTAGTCACATGCTAATTCATGCTAGAATCATGCTAGTTACATGCTAATTCATGCTAGAATCATGCTAGTCACATGCTAATTCATGTTAGAATCATGCCAGTCAAATGCTAATTCATGCTAGAATCGTGCTAACAACATGCTAATTCATGCTAGAATCATGCTAACAACATGCTAATTCATGCTAGAATCATGCTAGTCACATGCTAATTCATGCTAGAATCATGCTAGTCAAATGCTAATTCATGCTAGAATCGTGCTAACAACATGCTAATTCATGCTAGAATCATGCTAGTAACATGCTAATTCATGCTAGAATCATGCTAGTAACATGCTAATTCATGCTAGAATCATGCTAACAACATGCTAATTCATGCTAGAATCATGGTAGTAACATGCTAATTCATGCTAGAATAATGCTAGTAACATGCTAATTTATGCTAGAATCATGATAGTAACATGCTAATTCATGCTAGAATAATGCTAGTAACATGCTAATTCATGCTGAAATCATGCTAGTAGCATGCTAATTCATGCTAGAATCATGCTAACAACATGTTAATTTATGCTAGAATCATGCTAGTAACATGCTAATTCATGCTAGAATCATGCTAAAAACATGCTAATTCATGCTAGAATCATGCTAGTAACATGCTAATTCATGCTAGAATCATGCTAACAACATGCTAATTCATGCTAGAATCATGCTAGTAACATGCTAATTCATGCTAGAATAATGCTAGTAACATGCTAATTTATGCTAGAATCATGCTAGTAACATGCTAATTCATGCTAAAATCATGCTAGTAACATGCTAATTCATGATAGAATCATTCTAACAACTTGCTAATTCATGCTAGAATCATGCTAACAACATGCTAATTCATGCTAGAATCATGCTAGTAGCATGCTAAATCATGCTAGAATCATGCTAACAACATGCTAATTTATGCTAGAATCATGCTAATTCATGCTAAAATCATGCTAGTAACATGCTAATTTACGCTAAAATCATGCTAGTAACATGCTAATTCATGCTAGAATCATGTTAAAAACATGCTAATTCATGCTAGAATCATGCTAACAACATGCTATTTCACGTTAAAATCATGCTAATAACATGCTAATCTATCTATCTATCTATCTATCTATCTATCTATCTATCTATCTATCTATCTATCTATCTATCTATCTATCTATCTATCTTTTCATACTTTTGAAAACTGTTTAAATAAACTATTACCGTCAGGCTTTCACAAGCCAGCCTCAAAGTTTGTTCTCAAACTTTAAGAATCTAGTTATATTTATTATTCTTCTTCTGAGACTAAAAATTAAACTCTATCTCGTCCTAGGCCTTTCAAGCTATGACCATCAAACTCGGGTCAGACCTCCGAACTATTCTGACTCGAGTTGCTATATCCTTTCCGACTGATCCGACTTTCGGTTTCCCGAAAAACGTCCCGGGACCGTCGGAAAAATCCCATAGACGTAACATTGGATCAAACTTTGTGACCTCATAACTCCGCATCAGAATGTCACACAGACTTCTAACTGGGCTCATTTAACTCAGACTATCAAACTGCCAATGACTGATCACCTTTAAACTTTCTGGCCACGCCCTAGCAACCACTTTTGGACCCTAGAAACCGTCCCATAGACTTCCATTGCAAAAGACTCTCATAGACTTTACATTGGATCAAACTTTGTGAGCTCATAACTCTGCATCAGACTGTCCTACAGACTAATGATTGAGCTCATTTAACTCAGTCTAGCCAGCAGCCAATCACTGATGGCCATTTAACTTTTTAGCCACACCCTAACAACTAGATACTGCACCCTAGCAACTGTCCCATAGACTGCCATTAAAGAGGTTCAGACTGATATTGTCATGCTGCAGTGTGATAGAGACATGGGGGTTGTTTTTAACTGTTCATACTGGCAAGAATCTTTGATACATCATCAGTCTAAGCTGTCAATCAACTCCATAGCAACAAAACAGAGTAACCTAGCAACGATATGGCACCAGCTATATCTCAGCATCAGAACATCGTAGAGAAGCGGGGGTTGGCTTGTTTGACTCATGCTCAAACACCATCCATCTATCTATCTATCTATCTATCTATCTATCTATCTATCTATCTATCTATCTATCTATCTATCTATCTATCTATCTATCTATCTGTCTGTCTGTCTGTCTGTCTGTCTGTCTGTCTGTCTGTCTATCTATCCATCATGCTAAGAACATGCTAATTCATGCTAGAATCATGCTAGTTACATGCTAATTCAAGCTAGAATCATGCTAGTCACATGCTAATTTATGCTAGAATCATGCTAGTCACATGCTAATTCATACTAGAATAATGCTAACAACATGCTAATTCATGCTAGAATCATGCTAGTAACATGCTAATTCATGCTAGAATCATGCTAGTCAAATGCTAATTCATGCTAGAATCATGCTAACAACATGCTAATTCATGCTAGAATCATGCTAGTAACATGCTAATTCTTGTTAGAATCATGCTAACAACATGCTAATTCATGCTAGAATCAGGCTAGTAACATGCTAATTCATGCTAAGAACATGCTAATTCATGCTAGAATCATGCTAGTAACATGCTAATTCATGCTAGAATCGTGCTAACAACATGCTAAATCATGCTAACAACATGCTAATTTATGCTAGAATCATGCTAGTAACATGCTAATTCATGCTAGAATCATGCTAGTAACATGCTAAATCATGCTAGAATCATGCTAGTAACATGCTAATTCATGCTAGAATCGTGCTAGTAACATGCTAATTCATGCTAGAATCGTGCTAACAACATGCTAATTCATGCTAGAATCGTGCTAACAACATGCTAATTCATGCTAGAATCGTGCTAGTAACATGCTAATTCATGCTAGAATCGTGCTAACAACATGCTAATTCATGCTAGAAACGTGCTAGTAACATGCTAATTCATGCTAGAATCGTGCTAAC